AGAATACTCCGTTCATGATTTTTAGTCAAAGGGCACTTCTAGTTGGAAGAAAATGGTGCAGGGCTCAGACATCCGTGGTTCACCATTAAGTACGATTCTCCAGAAATAATTCATCGGAGCTGGCGCCTAAACCACAAAATTTTCATGGGCTGACTATATTTTTAAAAGACATCTCGGAGCTCTTCATAATCGTCATTTTCAATAATAGTCTACAGACAATTGCGTCCACAATGACCTTGCGCCGATCGGCACGGCCTCCATGATTGTGCGTGCATCGCCACAACAGAAAAAAAGTTAGTTTGCCAAAAAAAGCTTGTAGACCCATTGGAGATTAAAGGTTCAATGAAGAATCTGCTGAAGCTCCATCGTTCTAGAATATACGTCGTTATTGTTGGAGGACAATTGGCGGCGCGCAGAGGCCGAAGCGATCTTTACACTACGCCACTGTGTATTGGATTTGGCACTGTAAGTTAACCTGGAATAATTCTATGTATAAAGGTATTCCCGACCTTAGACTAGTAACAGATCACTGTAAGATTCATTAGGATCTAAATATTGTAAGCAGATTAGGACATTACACTGCATTGCTACGGTGTCCCGTTTTGAAATCCACTGCAATGGTTTTGTTTACATTTGTGTATACAAGACTAGAGTTGTTACTGTGAACTATTTGGTTACAGAACCGTAACTTGCCATAATGTTATTCCAAGTCACGATCACTGCGCGTTTGTTCAACACAGAAACCACGTGGTGTTTAACCTCCTTATTTTCAAAATTAGTTTTTTCATTGCAATCTGACTCCCGTAAGTCCAACGTCAAACAGCAACTCAATCACCACTGAACCTCACAAAGTTTACGAAAAGGCATGACACTTTCTCGCAACGCTAAAAAAAATACATGCATTTCGAAAGTGGAGCGTCCATAGCTGCATCCCCCAGCGCGCGCATCGACCTCCACGCGCCATCCGAGACAGAACCATATCAGCTTCATAAAACTGGCACTCTCACTCTCAAATTCCTCACCTGCTTTCTTGGACTTGGCAGATTTCCTTCCTCTCTTGGGTGCTGGGGCCTCTGTGACCTCAGGGGCCTTCCTTCGTCCGCTGCTTCGTGTAGTGGGCATGTTGGCAGCGCGACTGTCCGCGTGTGAATGGCGTTGGGTGGCAACAGCGTACTCCGCCGTGGGAAAAACGGATGCCACTTTTGCATCAACGCAGATTTATTTCTCTCGTTCGTCTCGTAAGTATTGTCTACATTAGATATTGAGTGATTAGCTTCTTCCTAGTGCCCCAGAATGCTGTAGTAAACAGGCATGTTTTATAAGCAAAGGCTACTTGGAGAAGAAAAGGATCGATGGATTCCGGTACGGCACCCACGTATGGTTTAGAAAGGGGCGCTTTGAACGGTTTCGTAGCTGGATTATATAACTTTATATATCCTTCTGAATTACATAACATTGAAATTATATTTTAATTGCGTTCCTAGTAATTACCATATGTTTGCTAAAACACCGTAAGTATAAACAATAGCTACAAACTGTTCTAGGCATGTACTCAGATTTTGATGAATCCTTTCTGCGCCGTATTTTGTACATTTTAGTACACCATGTCATATTGCGCTTCATCATGGTACCCTTTCCAAGTCTCCATAAAAATATCTGAAGAGACTTAATATGAACTCAGAAATCTTTAAAATGGAGGTATATAAAATAGTGTAAAGTTTTGAATCACTGATGACGTTTCCAGAACATAATGAACCCGTGCCATCCTGACGATACCGGATGAAAAAAAGGACATACAAGGCAAGAAAACGTCAGACTGGAATATGACATACACTCAAGCTGCGTGGGGTACACTTTGTCCGATTTCAGGCAACAGTGTATGTATTTTCATTTTATTTGTATCCCATGTATTTAAAACAGTTGCATTATTAATATTAGCTTCAAATAGTATTTATCAGTAACTTTCAATATGACTAAATCAATGTTGAGATTCCTGCGCATTAGTTTCCCAGGTGATCCCACGTCTCAAAGGGAACACGCCGTTTCCTTCACGAGGAGGAAGCGGACAGCGGGTGATATCGGTAGCCGTCTCATAAATTATAGTTGGACGTCGCGGAATTATAAAGCATGCTCAGTGCTTGGTTCAAAGTGGACACCAATTTCCTTTCCTATTGACTCAGCACGTTTCTGTGACGAACCGTTGTAGCGTATCCAGGCATAAACTCCAAATGTATGATCGAAACACCAAAATTAATTTTTAAAAAAGAGGTAAAATAGGAGAGATATAAGTAAACAATATTCATGTTGACTGTTGAGCTTCATGCAATGAATAAATCAAGGCAGTCGGTTAACCCCCCACGCTGCCAAGTCTTGCCATTTGAGCGATCCAACCCTCATGTCATTGAACGTTTAACTTGTTCGTCTATTTGCTTTAAAGAACTAGCTCTTCATTTTCATCAAAAGATTCAGAAAAGGGAACTCTCACTGCTGGAGAACATTC